ATTGAATGCATAACAAATCTTCATGTGGCTAAAAAAAAAAAAACCTTGCAGGGCCCCAGAGTCCTGTTCTTGGTCTCACCCACTCTACAGGAGCATTGTGATTGGTTAATTTTCCTGTCAGTTATTCAACAAAGTCATTTTTTGACTGAGCTGAGCCTTCTCCCACGACAGTGAAGTCCTAACCAATGAGAAAGATCCTTCAAACATGCACTTGCAAAGACGCAAATTTTAAAAAAAAAAAATGATTGGACAACTTCATGAATTAAATAGAACATGCTCAACTGCAAAGTTGTTTACAAAAATACAATAAATAGAAGAAAAAAGAGAAATACAACAAACGTTCTTATACATTATAAATGCCAATTAATAAATGTATCTATCTAAGGAAGGAAACCAGCAAAGTGCGTAAAAATAAAATCTATATTTTATCTAAAATAAAGATGTATATGTAACATTTCATGTGACTTCTTGGTCCTTCTCTGAAGGCGTAGAAAGCCTCAGGGTTCTGGACAAAACATTTTAGGTGTTTTGATTTTGTTACCACACAACAGTTTTGTAGAACAATTATGTTTTTATTAGGAGCGATCATTTTCTTTAAAATGTTTCACATTGCAGAAATGTTATACTAATTCCAGAAACAGTGACGTTTCTACAAAAGCCATCTTTTCTTTGGAAAGGTTGGAAAGCTGCGTTGAGATGCATTTCTCTCATCTCATCACGCGTCTTTATTCTTTTGTGATTAGAAGTTAGTTCTAAATATACATCATTATCATCATGAAAACATCCCTTTGTGATCACAGAAACACAGAGATGTCATTACTCTGTGATTCCAAGAAAATGGCTTTGACAGCCTTTTTAACCAGAGATGTGGTGAAATTATTAGTCCTGACATTTCTGACGTGGGAACTCTAATTTATTGTGATGTGATTACGCATTGATAAAATGTATTACAAGAAAATAAAAATGATTGGACTTTATACTCCCAAGTTACAATTTCTCTTCCCTTCACTGTTATTCCTGTGCTGCCTGTCACCTGAAATGGTGCAAAAGTGCTTTCTTATACCTAGCTTTTCCTTTTTTCTTCTCATATGCTGTCTGATTTCCCTTAAATCTAAACGTGGTTAGGAAGTGACAGAAGAAATTAGTGCACCATTAATTTCCTCCTTCTGCTTAATTAATTTCGCTGTGTTCCTCTCTCGACTTCTCTTGCGTGTTCAGCGAATGAGCTGTTCGAATGTCTTCTTTTTTTCTTCGATGCTTAGTTGGAAAAAAAAAGAAGAAGAATGGCTACAGTTTAGGCTTTCATATGAAACGTCCATCAGCTTCCCTGCAGATTATCCAGGAGTGACATTCCGAGCTGAAGTTTTTCCACCCTAATCTCCTTCTTCTCGGCGTCGCCTTCACTCTCGCTCTTTACGCCACATGTTTCAAAGTAGATCTAGATTTAAGGGTAGTAATTCTGTAAGCAGATAAGTGAGTCTGGGAGCAGATAGGACGGGTGTCATGTGGAAACAGGCTTCCCAGTGCAAAGCGATTCCTTCAGGCCACAGAAAGTCATTTAAATATCCCTGATTTTCTTTTCTCAGCGTGAACCAACAGTCTTATTTTCCATTTAAAGTCAAAGCTGATCTGCTAACAAGTCCAGAGTGATTTGTGTGAATATCGCAGTGGGTGAGATGTTTGTGGGAATGACAGGTTGTAAATTCTTATCAAACACACCTCCACTGCAAAACTGCCTCTTTTGTGTGAACTGTTGATAAAGTGTTGTGTTTAGTCTTTTGTTGTTTTTATTTGCAATAGTTATTAGACACCTTTAAAAGAAAAAAAAAAATCTGTACTGCTTTTAAATGATAAGGAAAGGTTCTTGGACTAGGGAAAAACTAGATTTGGTGTGAAATTTTGTTAGCATAACTGCAAAAATCCATTCCTGTGTTATAAAACACACTCCAAAAAATATTATTTGGAACATTAGAAAAAAGTGTTTTAACTTTGTGAGAAAACACAAGGAGAGGAGGTAACGGTCTTGCTTCCTTTAAACTGTAAACACTAAAGTGTAAAAAAACAGCAAATTCAGTTTAATGGGAGCCTGACAAGCTAACATTAGCTAGTTAATTAGCTTGGTTATTAACCTCTGTACTGAGCGTACAGCAGGCTGATGAATGTACCAGTACACATGTGAACTCTTGCAGCTGGTATGGATATCCATTTCAAGACAGTGACCCCCACACCACCACCACCAAAAAAAATAAAAAAAAAACGGTTGTTATTTATGGCAAAATTTGGAAAATTGTGTTTTTTGCCTACATAAATCAGAGAAACTTGCAACTTTTACAGTATTTAGCACTATTCGCACAGGATTAGTTTTACCTAGGGACCACTTGCTATTTGTAATAATTACAATAATTGTTAATAATCTGTGTTGTTAATCCCATGCAAATTGGCCATGTCAGTAATTTGGAAAGTAAAAATTCCGCCACAAATTACCTACTATATTTTGATGAACTCTGAGGTCCTGTGATAACACTAATCCAATGTGAATATGCATCTCTGTGATTTGGACAGAAATGGGCGGGATCTGATACGTAATGAGGCATTTTTTGTTTTTGTTTAAGCAAAATCATTTGGAAATATATAGAACAAGGCTATTTTAAATGAACGTGCTGCTCGCTTTGGCTTTTGTAGATGCTGATACTTTCATCACCGCAAATGACAGCAGGTGCGGAGATGCGTGCGTGATCAGCTGACCCATCCATCCATTATATTTACCGGCTTCTTCCTTTTCGGGTAGTGGGAGTCGCTGGTGCCCATGTCCAGCAATCACTGTACGAGAAGCAGGGGACACCCTGGACAGGTCGCAAGTCCATTTCAACCAGCGGGTCAGTGGCCGCGCAGCTGCTCATGCACGCGGCTGGTGACATGTTGTCCATCTGAGTTTAAAATGGATTTTTTTACCTCTTTAAACCACCTGGTCGGACCTGTCTCCTCCTCAACAAGTAAATTAACACAGTTTTATACTGTGCATTCTTATTTAGTTTTCTTTGTGCTGATTCGTAAAGCCACTACAAAACCTGAGACTGGTCCGGCCCGTACATTAAGCACATTGTATGGACCGGCACAGTCATGACAACGCAGCACGTTAACATCAAATCCACAAGATGTCCGTAAATTTCAGCTAAATCTCAGGCATTGGTTATCCGATGCGAATGCGCCACGTAAAAAGCAGACGTTGGGGAGTAATTTATTTATTACACGTGGTCCCTAGGTAAAACTAATCCCGTGCGAATAGGGCTTTAGACGAGAAACTTTCAGGATGATTCCCGTTTTTGGTTATCATCCCCAGCTGACTGACAGCTAAAAGGAAGATTTTGGGGATGAAGAGCTCTACGCTCCATAAAACCAGAGAAAACCCCCACACTACATCTGAAATGTTCATAAAAGCTGTTTAAACAGCAGGAATTGTATGATTATCATTTTTTCATGTTATTTATTTTATTACCAACCTTTATTTAACCAGGCAAATCCCATTGAGATTACAGATCTTTTTTGCAAGAGAGGCCTTAAGGCAACCTAACATGCATGTTTTTGAACCGTGGAAGGAAACCGGAGTACCCAGAGAAAACCCGTACAAACACAAGGAGGTCATGCAGACTCCACATAGAAAGACCACAGGTCCAAACCAGGGATTGAGCAGGACCTTCATGCTGTGAGGCAAAAGTGCTGCCAATATTTTAAACCGTGACATTTTAAACACCCGTCGTCGAATGCGACCATATTATGGTATAGTCTCCAACCATACATGCATCCAAATGTACGTCCATAAACATCTTGTCCCACCCATAACTTCTGATCCACTCAAGATAATCTAACAAAACTTAACATGCATATGCATCATCACTAGATGGAGCGTTGCATATACTTTTCATGTCCTCAGCTTCAAGGTCAGAGTCAAAAATCAAAGTCAAATTTATACAAGATTGTTGCTTGTTGAGGCAATAACTTCGGATCCTCTTAATAATTTTACAAAACTTGATACACATTTGTATCAACACTATACAGTGTATTGTGGAATATTTTTATTACACCAGCTCTAAGGTCAAGGTCACAAATCAAGGTCAAATATTCTACAAGGTCATTGTTTGTCTGGCCGCTGTATTAAAGTTTGTCTGCAGGCATATAGTGTGTTGTATGCAGTACTCTTGTTAAAATTAGGACTAAAACTAAAACTGGAAAAACTACAGAAAATATTTATTAAAAAATGTAAATAAAAAAAAATATATATACTGCAAATTAATGCAAGTGGTACTATAAAACATATTTGAGACATGTATTTTTAATATTCATATTTTTACCAAAATATCTAAAGCTCATAATAGATCTCTTTGTTTAACAAAATAAAATTTTAAACTTGTGCTTTTAAATAATGTAATAATTTCCTTTGTCTGATGAGTACATTTTACCTGAATATGATAAAAGTATTTGGACATCCATATGTTACATTGAGCTGTTTGGTTAAATTGGATAAAACTCTTTTATTTTCTAAATAGTGCAGATTTATAAACGCACGTGCGGTTTTTTTTTTATTTACCATTGGTAGTTGGTTTCCACTATCTGGCTGATGTATCATCAAAAAACCCTCATTTCAATGCAACACAAAGCAGGTGTTATTGAGAGAAGACTTTGTTCACCCAGATGCTACCATTGCGCACCAATCCAGATGTGAAGTAAATGCAGGCTGACGGTTTGTAAACACCATCCATGTCCAGCAGCGTTCCTCTAAACTGGGATTAAAAGACAACTGAAAACTTTGAAAGGCTCCTGTGATTGGTTGATGACTATTACCCTGCACTGAAACAGCTAAACCCATAATCAAGTCGAACACGATCAGATAATCTCAATATGTCTTTGCGGACCCTGCCCAACAGCCTAATCCCCAGATTTAGAACCTCGGATTAGGAATCCTAGATGATTAATCCCATATTGTGTTTGTGTGTTTCCTGCAGGGGACCCTTCGCCGGGTGACCTTCTCGGTTGTGAGCCAACCCCAGGACGGCGGTTGCTATGACAGCGGCCTGGAAGATTCAGAGACACCGAGCAGCAGGAGTTCATCTGGGCCACGACTTGGAGCGCTGCCACTTCCCGAAGAAGGTTACGAGCGAACCACGCCAGAGGGCAGCGTGGGCGAAGAGGAGCACGTAGAGAACGGTACGGAACGTAATCACGTATTCAACCAATGCACCTAATTAAACTTCACAAACCACGAAATACTTTCACTTAAGTAAAACTGCAAGTACTTCATACAGTGAAAGCCTTAAGAATGTTTTGATTATACACATCTGGCTGTGTTTCTCCATCACACACAGAGAAACATACCAATAAAAACTTTATTTGGAACCTTGACTTGCTGTCAAGGTCTCAAGAGTTTTTATTCTCCTGTCTTGATGGAAACGTATTTTACACTATAAAGCAGCTGTCCTGTGTATCTTTGCATGCACTGCTCCAAGTGTATTTGTGTGCAAGGCCTCCGTGTATTATGTGAGCAGATTTTTTTCAGAAAAGCTAATGTGTGATGTGAGAGAATCTTGTGCCCGAGTCTCAGCCGTGGCCCAAAGCCTCCCTGTCAATGACAAAAATTCTTTTTGTTCCTCTTTTCATCGCATGCGGTCGTACAAGCGTTGAACAGTGGCAGCTCACCAAGGTCACCATGTCCATGGCAACTGACTGCTTCTGGGGTGATCACTGTGCTCCCAGCAAAATGATGCTTTTTATCAGTGTGTGAAAGCACCGGAATTATTTGGAGTCTACTACGTTTTTGTCACTTTATGATTAAAAAAAAGGCTTTGAATTTTTTTTTTTTTTTTTTGGCTATAATTGAGATTCATAATAATGTGATTGTTAGGAGTGTTGAATTCAATTACACACAGACTGCAGGTTTACATATTCAACAAAAAAATCTCTCAGTGAGCATCATACATATTTTGTATTAGGTTTAAGTAAAGCTGATCTAGGACAAACAGTAAATAGGTTTATTGGTTTCAATCAAGAGCAGATGCAATTTTAAATGTCTAATTTTATTTTTGGAAGAGGGTGAGACAGGAGGTCCTCTATACTCCTGAAGGAAAAGAAGAATAAGAACAAGTTTAACAACTTAAGTGTAGGACTGGGTGATTAAACTTCAAAATTAAATTTAGCATGAGCGTGCTGACAATCATAATACAAGTCCAGTCAGTTTATCAGTAGAGTATAGGACCCATCCCTCAACACAAAGGCTACAGCAGCTGATTTCCGTCACGTTAGAATACATGCCCTCCAGATACAGCAAAATGTAGTCAGTGCAGTGTGTCCGACAAAACCCGTTCAAACAGAAATGAACTTTTCCTGTTGAAATGTGCTACTCGCCCCAGTGTAAGCAACTTATGTTGGTCTGAAAAGCTGAGACTTTTAAGGCTCCCACAGACTCGAGCATCCTGTCAGCCGCATGGAGACTGCGCACTATCCGCAGATGGTTGAGACTTCATACTTGAGCGTCCACCCTAACCGGCTGCAGACCAGCTCTGCAGGCAAGGGGTGTTTACCTTTGGGACAAATTGAGTTCGCCAATTGGTCATTTGCTGACACGCCTACTGGATTGACAGGCCACAATAAAAAATTAAAAAAAACAGAGCTGGCAGCCCCAGCCGCAGTGGTGTTCTGTGTTTATATGTCGTTAAAAAAACAAACAGGGAGCGTTGGTCCTGCAGCCCACACATCAGACCAGCCCACCAGGAAATCTCCAGACCCTCCCGCAGCCACGCTGGACCTGATTTTAATTCACTCGTGACAAATTCCTTCATTTCTCACAATTTCAGTCATGGCATCAATGGACAAGGAGGAAGAGATCACTTGTCTCTTGGCAAAATAACAAAAGAAAAGGCCATTAAATCAGATCAGGGATGAAGAAGGGGAATTTAATACATTGGTGTTGCATAAAAAAAACAGTCCGTCGCCGGGCAGTTTATTGTGCGACACCAAGTACGCATACACGGTCGTAAAAATTGATCTTTGCACGGACATGCCCTGCGGGCGTCCACGTTGAGTCTAATCCGGTACGCTAGGACCTTGGCGGACTGAGGTCCACCCAAGTATTCTGGAGCCTTTAGAAACTCTTTGCAAAGTGGATTTTTTAATTTAGTTTAGTTTAGTTTAGTTTTTCTTTTTATACTTGTGCCATACTTGCCAACCATCCCAAAATGGGGCAGGACAGTCTTGTATTTCAGCTTGTATTTTCTATTTGTATGTGTACTTGTTCTATTTTACCTACCTAGTAAAATTTTTATAAAAAGATTATGCAGCTATTCTATTGCTTTGTATGTTACAATTTATCCTTCTTTTTTTCAAGGTCAAGGTCAAGGTGTCTTTATTGTCATTCACACCACATGTGGTACATGTGGTGGAATGAAACTATGTACACAGGGTCCCAGTTACATCCAACAAAAATACAAATTGTAAAGAGAAACAATAATAAGAGTTAAGATATGAACTAAGAAATACACTAGACTAAGAATACACTAAGCACTAATAGTACAAAACAATGCGCCAAACAACAGCAGCATGAACATGAGTCTGTGTGAGCAGATGAGGACGAATGAACACATCAACATGAAATAAATCAGCCTCTTTTTTTATTTTTTTTTACTTTTTCTGACTGATGTGATTAGTGTTCAATTTTATGGCCCTACAGTATGAATAAGTCTACATCCAGGCTAGGCTAATCAGAGTCAGTTTCTTTATTGTCATTCGCACCACATGTGGTACATGTGGTGAAACGAGATTGTGCAGTCAGGGTCCCAGTTACATCCAACAATAAAATGTAAAAGAAAAACAGTAATAACATCTAAGATATGAACCAAGAAAAACATCAATCAAAATTAGAGCATTAAGGCCAGCCATAATGCTCTGCTTGTGAAAGTAAATCTGTTGGGGATCACTTTGACACTCAGACAATAATTCTAAGTGTCACAATGTCCGACAGGACAAGGGAAAAAAAAAAGAAGAAAAACAACTAAAAATACGCTAAATTAAAGTAAAAAAACAATAAACACAATACGCTGAACAGCAGCACGAACATGAGTCTGTGTGAGCAGACAACACAGCAACATGAAACAGATCAGCAACAGGATTTGATTATCCTGGTTAGAGATTCATGAGTGAATATCATTTGAACTAATGGCTAGCTAAACAAGGGTCTATTATTTAAATTATCAGGCTTCTGAAACAACTCTTTCTCAAAAAAGAGCCAACCTGTGAGAAAGAACGCAACATAAGCTAATTTAAACGTCTACAATTTTACAGTGTATGACGCCATTTGTTTGGCCTTTTTGTTGCTTTCTCAGCCGAACAACGCACGCGTTATACAATGCATGTGCACGGGGCATAGTCCGCTAAATTATTGTAGTGTTCTTTCACTCAAATACATTGTTTTTGAAAAATATTTTATTTATAAACTTGAAAAAAACAATCAAAAACAGACTCTTGTTCAGCTTTAGCCTAGCCAGATTAAAAATTAATTTATTCCCTTTTCTCTTTTTGTGCTGTGTAACTATCGATAGCTATTAGACAAAACATCACTACAAAAATCAACAAACTATCCCTTCAAGTCATGCTCAGAGTGGTCTTTCTTCATTTTTCAATGTCTTTATTTCAACATTATTTCCACCAACATGGTGGATATTTGTGTTTTGGTAGTTTTTCTGTTTTACTGAACAAAAAAATTGTCAAAAGATAAAAAGAATTACGTTTTAAAAATAACTGAAGTAATGTAACCAGGCCTCAGTGACAAGATAATAAATCAGCCACCAAATGTATAAGCATCCAAGCTGAACTAATTATTAAAATGTTTGCTACCTGACCACATTGCTCCAACACAGTGGCATTTTTGACACTTGAACAAGTTTTTTTTCCAGCAAAAAAGCACATATTGTAAAAAAAAAAAAAAAGAGAGAGACTTAAATAGCAATTTAATACAGTATATAGGCCCATTGGCTGCAGGCAGAAATAAGGAGGAGATGGTGGTTGAACTACATAATGATGAATATATGGGTGTGTTCTAAATATAGGTAGAGACAATTTTAAGCAAGTAAAAGTTGCAGCGATCGTCAGTTTACTGTTTTCAGTGAGTGCAGCAGACAAGAACATGGAGGTCTTCTGGTGTTTATATAATAATGCGCCACAGAAATTCCCCTTTAAATACATATAAATAAAACTGAAGCAACCACCATGCACACACACGTGCACTTTGCCAAACTGATCAAACCTTAGCTCTAAAGCACCCTTCCATAAACATCCAGTTGGCTCTGATTGGTCAGGAGGTTTAGTAAAAATTAGCAGCATTCCACCAGTAGCTCGTTTTGATGAAGAAGTGCCAAACCAGCCACTAGGTCTGGGTTGTGAAAATGCTTTAACGTACAGTAGCAGCCAGACAACAACAACAAAATGCCTTGGCTGCTTGCAAATAGTTCCACACAGCTCAGACACAACTGTTTTCTGTGGGATAACAACTCTTTGATGTGTACACCAACTGCATCTTGAAGGACCCCACTCACCCAGCACACTAACTTTTTGCCCCGCTCCCCTCAGGTTGAGGAGCATTAAGTGTAGAACCAGTAGACTGAGGAACAGCTTCTGCCCTGAAGCTGTTAGGCTCATGAATCTCTAACCAGAATAATCACTGTGGGGAAAAAAAATCACTGTAATGCCACTTGATTGTTGATATGTGCTGCTGACTATCCATGCTGCTGATCTCATGCTGCTGATTAATTCCATGCTGTGTTCATCCGTACTCATCTTCTCACACAGACTCATGTTGCTGCTGCTGTTGTTCGGCGTATTGTTTTTGTACTACTAGTGTTTAGTGTATTCTTAGTTTAACATATTTCTTAGTTCAAATCTTAGATCTTACTACTGATTTTCTTTTACAATTTATACTTTTGTTGAATATAACTGGGACCATGTGTACACAATTTCGTCCCACCACATGTACCACATGTGGTGAGAATGACAATAAATAAACCTTGACCTTGTACTATGTGCTTTGTAACTTTGCAGACGATTTACTTGCACTAAAGGCTATTCAAACGTGAGGGGAAAACGCAAAAAAAATAAAAATAAATTACTTTAAGAGTGAAGCTTCACTTTGCAGGAAAAGGCATATGTAATGTACTTGCGATTTTGTTTATTTTTTGTCTCAATGTGACACCCTTTCCATCTAGAACTGACTGGTTTAAATAAAGGCAGCCTTCACCTCTGCAGGAAATCTGCATTCAGTCACCGACGTCCTTGCTAACCCTATCAGTGAGCACCCGTGGGATGTAGCAAATCTTTAAAACATGTGATCTTCACCTCACACGTGAAGGAATATGGATTCAAATTGGTGATAATTACATTCCCTGTGGCACTCGTGGATGTTTGGGTTGACCTCACCTTTCACCTTTCATGTAATGCTGAGCACAGCTCGGTGTTGCACTTCACTGTTCTTTGGAAGTCAGCAGTTTTCATTTTGCTTAATTTTCTTTTTCTTACATTTTCCCTTCAGGCCCACATCTTTTTTTTCAGTCTATTCTACTCTTTTGTTGTTGTTGTTGTTTTTGTTTCTGCACCATGAAATGTTCCCCTCAGTAACCCTCATGGGGCTTTTTTTATTTTATTACAGCCGAGGCAGTTTAACTCTAGTTGTGATTTATTTGACATTTCACATGTGGGTTCCTTCTTCTCCAGAGAAACAAAATGCAAACAATAATATGATCTTTTTCTCCTTTTTACCCCATTTGTCCTGTATCCAGATGCCAGACAGCTGCCAGATGTGGCTCTGACAGGAAAGTGCACCCGGGAGTGTGATGAGTTCGGCCATTCGGACACGTGCTGGATGCCTGTCCGTGCCTCACCACGGCAGCGGCAGCGCCATGGCAGCGACCCTCCCCGACTCTCGACCTTTGCCCCGGGAGATGACAACAACAATCTCCGCGGTAACGACCGTGAAAGCGACAGTGAGAGTGCCGGCAGTGCGGGGAGCTCCGAACCAGGAGTGGTGGTGAGCGCAGAAGGTCAGAGGTTGCCTTTAGTCAACGGTGACCCTCTCAGCACCCTGGGTCGAGGAGACCGCAACAGGAACATGGGTGATCACAACCGCAACCTTCTAAACCGTAAAATGACTTCCGCCTCCTACGACACATTTAGCGGCGCGAGCCTCGGGCGGCGCCAGCCGGAGGAGGCAGGAGGAGAAGGCCAGAACCCACCTGAGGTCATACCGTTGGCACGAACGGGAGGGGACTACAAGACAACGTCCTGTCTCACACTGTCACGCCGTGAGGTCTACCTGTGACGGCCTCTCGGTGGAGCAATCCACCACCGCCATCATGTTGATCATCTCCTCTGTTTGTTGGAAAAAGCTACTTTACCAGCAAGTCATGAGTGTGGTGGAGCCTTTAGCCCGTGACGATGTGTAATTGTCAAAAGAAATGCTTTCACAAAGCTTTCATCAAACTTTAAGACTAATACTTATAGGTACTTAAACTTAAGAAGTCACCATTCAGCTTGTTGGAGCACTTTGACTGAAAGTACTTTCTGAAAACTGTTTTGTAACCACGACTGAAAGCTACCTTCAAGCAGAGACAGTGTGTCCACATGGAGGAGAACAATCTTTTCTTCGTTTTTATTCAGATCTAATGCATGCCTGAACCTTTGACCATAGAGCTATTTATGAAGAAGACTGTGTGCGTTCTGAGGCTCTGGGTACATCTAAAAAATAAAAATAAAAAAAAGAAATGAAGCCGGTACAGGATTTCTCTGAAGCATCTGCAAAGAAAAGACTGCTGAGATTTCATCCTGTCGAAAAAAAACGACAAAAAAAAGAAAAACAAAAGTGGCGCGGCAAGTCAGTTTGGATCTAATTCAAACTTTCTAATCGACTGTCTCATAACAAAGGTGAGGAATATTAACCACCTCAGTGAGAAACCTTTATAATTAACAAAGTGTTAAGCATATAAATCTAAATTGGACAAAACAGTGTTAATAGGATATTTATGATACAAGGTTGTCATCGAGGGTCGCCTGTGCCAGAGGATTCAACCTTATGTGAAAATGTTTGTTTCTAATTTTCCCTTTACATCCAGTTTGTATGTACATATCACGTGTGTCTTTGCATTGTTCTGCTGCTTTCTGCCGTTTCAGAGTTCATTACACATCTGTTACATCCTCATCTGCTAGGAACAAGCTGTCAATCACATACGAGCATGCAAAAAACTTATCGTGTGCACACACCAACAGTCAGCTTGTGACATGAATCGGTGGATGGGTGATAAAAAGATCATTAGAACCTGCTGTTACTTTCACATGGGGAAGATCATGAACTCATATAAACACGTTAACAATTAATCTAAAACAAAAGCACCTGTACGGGTGCTCGGTTCATCAGCGTGTGCTTTTTTTCCTCCCCGTCAATGTGTTGCCTCATTGAAGTAGCTGTAGCATTTTGCCTGCTCTACCCTCAGCCAGTATTTTAAACGTGAACCATATTTAAATGATAACCCATCCTCTCCGACTGATTGACTGATCGATGCGTGAGACGACATTAAAGAGTCTCATGCTCTGTAAGAATTAATAGAAACTGTTGGAGAAATAAATATCCTGCATACTGTAAGTATTAAAAAAAAAACATCTTTTAAATTTCTGTAAGAAAAAAAAGGAAAGCAAAAAAAGTGCATGATAGAATGATAGTGTAAACTTCTTTTTCTTTTCTTTTAGATTTCAAGCTTTTTCCCCCCCAAAAGCACGACTATTTGGACACATTTGTGCTAACGGTGAGACAGCGGTGGCAGACGGGGATTTAGCCGCAGTGGGTGAATGCTTGTCTTTCTCTCAGTTTTTTCCAGCTCTAAAGTTAAAACACGCCACAGGCTGTAGCTAAAAATAATAAGTAGGAGGTAAATAAAAACATCTGTGAGTGTAGCGGGAGCACGTGGGGTTTTGCTGGTACCTGTTTCCCCACGTTGCGCTGACCTAACCAGCGCTCCCATGTCGCTGTGCTGTACGCCGCAGATAACAGACTCCTTCACGTTCGCCCTTCCCATCAGCCACCGCTCCACACAACTCCCGACACACTCCGCCGTGTTGTGCTGAAGAGTGGGTGCGGATCGAGGCCAGCACATTTTAATTCCCATCATCAGAGCTGTGGCTCGTGTGTGGCTCAGCGGTGCGATAGGGATAATAGGGTTAGGTCGACCCTGCGGTCTTAATGAGTTTCCTTTCTCCTCTCGTCTCCGATCTCGTTCTGTGCTGATCTCATTAACGTGCGGATAGGCAAATGTAACACCACTGGAAACTGCCAGCAAGTGTGTCTTGTATTTTCTCCGCTTGTTTTTTCTTTCTTTTTTGGGAGGATCAGACAAGGCTAAGGAGACACCCTCGTTAGTAGTGGTGAGAGTAATGAGCAGCTCAGGTGCGCAGCAGTGTTTAACCTGCTCTCGCCGCTGCTGCTTGACTGACAGATTAACGTCCGGGGGGAAAAAAGCAGTAATCATGACACCTCCTCACCTTTAGAGAGGGGGTAATCAGGATGAGAGATGCTCTATTTGTGTAATTACACGCTGTAAACCTGTATATACTTTAAACTTTACTACTCTGTGAACAATCCCAAGCTTTGAGCCCACTCATGTATTTACTCCCAAGCCTTCAGCATCTTCCACCTCAGCTGTTCAACGAGCTCTGGTTTCGATGGACTGCAGTGTTTTGTAATTCATCTGTTCCTCGAGGCTTGAATCTGTGGATGTTTTGAGCGACAGATTTCTGAGGGGGGAAAAAAGTTTTGGCTCAGAAAAAAAGGGGCATGAAGAGCCCGTGACTGGACAGAGACTCTGAACACAACCACTCCTCCCCGCCTCTTTCATAGTGGCACATATCGTTTGAAACTGCTGTTTTATTGCAGATCCCGCGATGGCACCTTTCAGACCCTCTAGTGTGGATTTAGAGGGATCATAACTGTACATGAATCTGTTTAGGTGCGTCTGTTTTTTATACTGCACGTTTAAACTTGAATATCTTTTAGTCGACTGCGAAACAAAGAGGGGAAACGAACAGCATCAATTCTTAGATATATCACCCACTAACGAAGACGTTTTTGTTTTTAAAACAGACATTTCCAGTGGACATCGTGTACTTGCTGTTCCCGTCCTCCTGTTATCCTCGCCTTGTACATATGAAACTACACTGTAGAACAGACTACTGAAAACTGTAACAGATAAAGGCATGCTTACGGTTCAATTCTGCACTTGAGTAAAAAAGAGAAAATGTGGAAAAAAAATGTTTTTATTTCCTTTGTTTTGTTCTCTCATCTTAAAGGGGACAGGCTCAGGTTTTTTTTTTGTTTTTTGTTTTTTTCTGGCTGCTCCCTTCCCGTAATTACTCAACGAACTAATTGCATTTGCTTTCGTGAGGATGAAGAGGAGTAGCTGAATGGTTTGGTATGAAAACGAATCATGTAAAAGTTTGACTTTGGCATTAAAAACTTCAAACACTCCTGCTTGAATTTTTGCTTCAGACAAATCACTCATTCATCCATTGTTTCTGCACACTTGATCCAGTTTAGGGGAGCTAGTGTTTATCTCTGAGGTCAAGATGTGAAAGGTGGGGTCCATTATAGGAGCCAAGAATAACCATTCAACCAGACACTCACGAAAACCTAATTAGCCTAACATGCAGGTTTTTATAGTACCAAACCAGATTAGCCACAAAAAAAAAAAAAAAAAAAAACACACTGCACTGGGTATGTGTGCCAAATTCACTGGAACACCCCAACTGTTTCAAACCCATGACCTTCCTGCTGCAAAGTAACAGAACTAACCAACTGCACCACATCTCCACTGTTCCAATTAAAACCCTTGTGTTGAGGATGGGTGGGTGGGAGTGGTGGCACAGAGGTTGGAGAAAGTGCGCCTGTAACCGGAAGATTTCTGGCTCAACTTCCGGTACTGACATCATCAAAATGTGGGTGGGATCGGTGAAGCACCCACACCTGCCTCCACCCTCATTTGCCCCACTCTGGGCCCTTGAGCAAGGCCCTCAACCCCCACCATCCGCTCCCCGGCCCATGCACCCCAGATGCAGCTCTCTGCTCCACACAGAGGGCTGTGGTAGCTCAGTGATGTGTGGTTGTGTCAGGAAGCACATCCAGCGTAAAAATAACTGCCAAGTCTTCATGCGACTTAGTTTGCTGTGGTGACCCCTGAAGAAGGGAGCAGCGAAAAGAAGACGATGAAAGAAAATGCTGAGGATGCGTTAGAACTGTTTTGGTCAAACCTTGGAAATAAACGTGCAATATTACACCAGTCATGCTCGAAGTTGGGCGGCACGGTGGCTCAGCTGGTAGAGCTGCCGCCTTTCAGTGAGCAGGTCGCCTCGGTTCAAATCCTGGTCTGGGGGCTTTTCTGGGTGAAGTTTGCATGTTCTTTTTGTGCATGTTCCAGGTACTCTGGTTTCCAGACCAAAAACCTGCGTGTTGGACTGATTGGTAACTCTAAATTGTCCCTAGGTGTGAGTGAGAGAGTGAATGGTTGTTTGTCTTGCTTGTCTCTACGTGTCCCTGTGATGGACTGAAGACCTGTCCACTATTCGCACAGTGATTGCTGGACATGGGCACCAGTGACCCCTGTGACCCGAAAAGGAAGAAGAGGGTAAAGATGATAGATAGATGCTCGGAGTTTATGTTGAGAATGATTCTCAGCTACTACTACATCAAATTTGAGCTCAACATTTGAAATATTGGTTATGTTGTAACTATTTTTGTATTAGATAATGTTGATTAGCTGTGGTGGCCATCTTGGGTTTGACCTACTTGGAAAGTTACTCAGTTGATGCACACTAAGGAATTATTTTCTTGAAATTTCGTTAGCTCATGAGATATTTAGTAATGGTAATTTTGATATTTAGATATGTAGTAATCAGGTCTCTCTTGTAAACGAGTCCCCGAAGCTTCGTGGGATTAACCTGTCTAAATAAAGGTGGCATGATTGAAAAAAGATGAATAAATATGCAGATAATGGTCATAAACATTATTGCCCACCTTTCAGCAGCAGGAGATGAATACATCTGGCTCAAACTGATCAGATTAGGACCATCATGGTGCTGTATCAAAGTTTTGGCATTAAAACTGTGACCGTTTATTGAAAGAACAACGAGAGCCTGTTCTTTCATCTTGTTTAAAGCCAGGATTGGACCAGAAAGTTGAACATCTGATCAGTTTTAAACTTTTGAAGAAAAGAGGACAAATCTCCTCCCTTTGAAGCATGACTCCTTATTTTAAACGTTGCTTCATAATGAAATTTTTGCAACAGAACGACATAATCTGAGATCAAGCGCCAAGATGCAGGACTGTCCATCATCTTAATCTTTTGAAAGGTTAATGTGCTGAACTTGATCCCGCTCCATGAAAACTTTTCAAATGTAGAAGCAATTTGGACTTAAGACTTATCTGAAAAAAGAAAAATTCATAGGTGTTAACTGCTGCAGAGATTAGCGTGAAGGACTTGAAAATGTCAAAAAAAAAAAAAAAAAAAACAGGCATAGGGAGTGGAAACAGACCTGCAATGTGTGTTCAATGTACAGCGAGCAACACTGACACCGTGTGGTCTTGTGTCAGTACTGTGCTTTTCTGTCGTGACCTTTTCATGGTACAAATATACAAACTAGAAGAAGATGAAACAACAGAAATAATTGCAAAACAAATAGGATTCTAATTATTTTTATGTTGTGGTTTTAAAAATAGTTGGTTTGCAAAGCTATTTGTGAGTAGAAGGCTCTTTGTATTCACATTTATAGTCACATCACAGATTGATCTAAAACCCCAACTCCAAAAACGTTGGGATGTGGTGCAAAACAAAAATAAAATTAGATTGTAATTTAACCTTGAATTCAGATGGGCTACAGCAGCAGAAACCCCCAGTTGACAATAAGAGAAAACGACTGATCTGATGAGTTCTGATTCACTGGATTCCAACGGCCTCCACAGCCACCAGATCGAAATCTAGTCGATCACCTTCAGGATGTAGTGGAAGAGGAGATTCACGTCGCTGATGTGCAGCTGACAAATCTGCAAAAACAAAATCATGCTGTCACATCAGCATGGACCAAAATCTCTGAGGAACGTTGACGATAACTTGTCAGATTTATGACGTGAATCGTTGAGGTAAAAATGAACCCTTCTTACACCTAGATGCAGCCACACACCAAAAGGGAAGTCAGTACCTCATGTATATTTCCAAGTTATCAAGCTCACAACTTGCACGGATGGACAGAGGGCATTTCCCATTCTTTGTCCTTGTTCTTTGTCTCAGAGCGAAAAGGGAACAACTAAAAACTGTTTCCAGAAGAAGAAGAAAAAAGTTTGCACATCTTCACAGCCTTATTAAGAGCCAACTAGGCTTCTTCTTTTGATTTTTGAAGACGCCCCCTCTCATCCAAAGACTTCTTCAGTTCTGATCATGGATTGGGAGCTCCAGGCTTGTACTGGAAGTCATTTTTATAACAGTCACACTAATGGGACCCTGTTAAAGTCAAATGAGTCTCTGAACCACCCCTCTGTCCTGTGAGCTGTTTGGGACGTTGTCACTGATAAACCTGGAACTCTCAACTATAGTGAAAAGCAATGAGT